TGGTAATACATATAATTTTTATCACAAAAAAATATAGCAGTCATATTGATTTGTGATTTTCCTTGAAATAAATAAAAATTCTTTATTTCAATAATTTTTTTCTTTCCCTATCAGTTATTTTTTTCGTCCCTATCATTTATTTTTATAATGACTTACTATATATCACCTATGATCTCAAATCTCATAATTTAAACGTACAATTGTAAATGATGCAAAATATAATACAACCTCATAAATTTAAATGGGTTTATAATAATACTAATATAATAACTTGAATTTTAAGAGTAATTTATAATAATTATTTCTTACATTTATCTGAAATAGTTGCTTTGGGTTGTAAAGAGAAGTAGTAAAGTAACATTACATAAATATAAAATATTAAATTATATAAAAACTTATAAACCTTCTATGTATACTAAAACAATTCAAATGTTTCATTTTTAAAAAATTGTAATATATATTTATTTATAAATTATGCTTGGTATTAAATATATATATTAGAATCGAACACTATATAGCATTATATTGATAAATATACCATTTACTAATTTTAGTACCTTAATTAATACAATTTCAACTGCTTATTTATAACAATTTTTTTTTATATTACATTAACAAGCATATATAAGTTCAAATTTTCATCAACTCTATATTAATTTAATTTATAATTCGTTTGAATAAACTTGTGACAGTGTACTTATATCTCAGAGTAATTAGTTCTAAATTTTTATCAATTCTGTTTACATAAGTCTTTTATTAGAAATATTCTAAAATGCTCAAAATAAAAATTTGAAACTATAGTACAAGTATAGTCGGTGTATAATTAGCTGCGGGGCATATGCCGTATTTAAAGGAAATTGCTCTCTAAGTTTAGTTACTTAAGCATATATCATTGACTTAAAACCTAAGCAATATAATTGTAAAATAACAAAATAATTATAAACTTAAATCATAACTTTTGTTGCACAAAATCTCGTAATTATAACAGTTTTGTTTATATAAATATTATTTATAAATTAATTTTGTGTTGAAGTAAATATTGTATTTTTTTATAATTTTTAAATTTAGAAAATTTTTATTTTTATACATAATATAAAATTTAAACGTTCGATTCAAACTGTGCTTTTTTGTATAGACTTAATATAACATTTCAAAATGAAGAAATAAAGAAACTTGCTTGCATTTACTTTTAAATTTTATTTGTTATTTACTAAAATTAAATTTTACATTTAAACAATTAAAACATACGCCTTATTTTATAAACATATAATTAAAAAAGTTAATACAATAACATTAAATATAACTAATTATTATTTGTTTAAAAATGCGTTTCAACTTATTGTGTATCTAAAGGGTTAATGTTGTTTCATTGATATTACTTAGAATTAATTTTATTTTTAGACTTTAGTTTCCCTAAACGCGTGCGTCCGTATTTTCAAAAACATTTAAGTCATTAAATTATTTTATATTTTCGTTAATTATTATATTTTTTCAAAGACAACAAATTTTACGTACAAAAATTACGTCGGTATTTTTATTCCCAAATGCACTTAGGTAAGTTATGGCTTTTTGTCGTTTGGTTTTCCGTCTTGTAATTATTAATGTGTCATGTAGATATAGATATATGATATAAAGGAATTTCTATAAACGTAAATGAAAATTTTGTCCATTTACTACAGTCTGTCTGCCTGGTTCACAGTAGTTCGGCAGTGGTGAGTAGACAAACTAGAAAAAAAGTTATAGAAACGATTAAAGCATTAATAAGATATAATTAATTATAATGGTATTAAGAATAGAAGATAACAAGATACACATACATATAAATCAATTACCAAATTTTTTTATTAAAGATATCTGATTACAAAATAAATAATCTATTTTTTATTTTTGTAATCTATTTAAATGAAATAATCTTTATAGGGGACAAAAGGTTCAATTCAATTAGAGGTTATTAATAATTTAATATGATACATTTAATAATAATAATAATAAGAATAAGAAAGAAAAAAAGAAAAACATACATACAAAATTCAAATAACCATATGTTTAGTAAAGGTATATGGTTTCAATACATTAGGTTAGTTTACACCTACAATCCCAAGAAATCCATTTAGGCTTGATTGTGTTACCGTATAATTAAAAACCCGAGGGTTAGAACCACTTAGAACCTTTGACAAAACTTATAAAACTATTCTTAGAGAGGTCATGTAGTAAATATTTAATATACTCAACAAAGTAGATGGGTGGGTCTTTCATCGCCCTCACCACAACCATGGTTTCAATATAAATAGACTACATTTTGTGAGCTGTTGTAAACTATTTAAATGATACAATCTCTATAGAGGAAAAAAAGTACAAATAGAGACGACGGTAAATTGATTAATATAATTAATATTAATAATAATAACAAGAAGAAGAAAGAAAAAGATATATACATAATTATAAATTCAAATAATGTTATGTTTAGGTTAATATAGATTGCATATGGTTACAATCTAAATAGTATACTTTTTTGTAATCTGTTTTAATTAAATAATCTCTATACTGGACAAAAGTTATAACGTAATTAGAGGAATATAAACTATTGTTAATAGTGACGCATTGGACAGTTATTAAAGACTGTGTAATAATAATACTTAAGCTGAAGTAATTACCAAATTAGTTACTGGGATTATATAGAAGAGTTATGTAAGATGAGTAACGTAGAAGGATAAGTGAGAATAATTAAACTTTTCCTGAGTACAGGTAAAGAAACCTTACCATCACATTGGGAGGGAGCCATAACTCGATAGAAGTCAGATTGGTGTGTCTATTGAAGCAAACGAACAGATAAGCGATGTTATGTGGCATAGAGCAGTAGTGTTTATAGTTAGCAAATAACTATTTAATACGTAGCTATATCCAAATCACAAATGAATTAGAACAGTCTAACGATATATCCCCAGGCACAATACTTATTAAAAAACATATAAACCGGAATTATTTATTTCTTTTAGGGGGTGATTGAATATTGAACGTATGTGAGGAGAAGTAGTTTTGGGATAGAACGACCTTGAAACTGTGTTTTCGACCTCATTCTTAACTTTCAAGAGACACCTAATATGGTTTTAAAGAGCTGCCAACTTGTTTGACACTATTTAAAGCTAATTCACACTTTCTTCAAACAATTTTTTTTCATATATAGACGTTATTCACTCTAAATACACTCTTAAACAGACACTCGACGTCAGCCATAGCGTTTTTGATTGGTAAATCTAGATTTAATCTAGATTTACTCTTGATCTGTTAAAGTTTGTTGCTCAATCGAACAATTTTGGAGTAATCTAACATTTTTGTTGTAGTGTTAGTAGACATTTATATTTTTCATAAACACATATATCGAATCAAATCTCATTTAATCTGTCAAGTCACATAAAACTGCTGTTAATTTCAGGGTAACCTTAGTATGACAAAATATCTAGAGTGTTATAAATTAATCTCGAGTGTTATACATTTCGCTCGAGATTTGCCAAATGTTATTTTCAAATTGCACTAAAAGTAAATCTCGGTTGATAAAGTTATTCCAGGTTAGGTTTAACAATCGAAAACCACATTCGTTATAAATAATAATAAAGAAATGTGTTTAGAAAAATGTTTTAGAAACATTGCCAATCAGAGAGGAATACTAGTGAGAATAGTTTTCACCGTATTTAATTTAATTTAATGATAATTTGAAAACACACATAAATTATATCATTTCATAAATAAATAATAAATATTTGTTTACATACAAATAAACAATACTACACATTTATAAAGTATTCTGAGTATAATATTTTTTTCTAAATTTAATTTTTTATAGAATATATTTTACTTAACGCGTAATATTTAAATTAACCTAACCCTACAGACAAACAAAACAGTCGAACTAAAAAGTGTAGCGTACCATGGTTTGGTCATTAATCAAAATAAATGTCTTTTGTGCACTTGTCCAATATCAATAAAAACTATTTGGCACTCACCTTTGGTGTTTTCTGTTCTGTAGACATATAGCCTATGCAAAAAGATTTTGTTGTTTGACTCCAAAGAATTTCGCCAGTTCGATCTTCTGGATGATACACTAATGTTAATGCGCCTGCATACAAATTTTGATTAACTGGCAGAAATGGTGATTCTAAGAATTTATGCTTAAATGTATTATGTAAACTTCGAACAGCACAATCGGCTGTCAATAGATCCGTGCATATTTCTTTCGCTAGAAATGTTCGCATGATATATTCACCATTTCCAGTAGTGCATGTAGCAACGGATATATCAGAAGTGTCAGCAGCCCAAACACCAGCACCAAATGTAGCAGCTTGACCAACACGTCCAGGCACTTTTAAAAGCAGACCACCAGAACTACAACCAGCAGCTGTGTTTCCATTACCATCAACACATACAGCTCCTACTGTATCTAAGCGTGCTTCTATAGTTATTGGAGGCACGTCTGCGGTGACAGGTATAGTATGTTCACTAGCCAGTTTTTGATATTTCGTTTTGTAATGATTATAAGCAAATTTTGCTTTACTTGATATCAAATCTTTGGGATCAATTATGTCACAACCCATTTCTTCTGCAAATTGCTCAGCTCCTGTACCAGCCATTATCATGGGTGGAAGGCGATCCATAGATAATAGTCTAGATTGTCCATCACAGATAACACGTGCCAATTGTATTGGATTTTTTACATTACTAACGTCTGTACATGCTCCAAATTGTAAATTGGCACCATTCATTATTGAAGCATCGCACTGCACACGCCCATCATAACAAAGATTTGAACCAAAACCCGCATTTGTGTTACCACAATTTTCCAACCGTTTTATGGCAGCTTCACAAGCGTCCATAGCTGTACCTCCTTTCAACAGCAAATCTGTAGCTCTTAAGCAGGCCTCTTTTATTACTCGCTGATATTTACTCTCATCGACACTGTTGCCCGCTCCTGGGGAGTGGCAAGTTTTAAATTGATTTTATTAAAATAAATTTAGCTAACAAACCTGTGTGCACTGCTATAAAACCAGACATTTTGCTTCAATATATGTTACGCTGCGAGATATTTGCAAACTATATTTTAATTCCGATTTATGTCAAACGCGACAGTAGTTTATTGTTTTGTTTGTGTATGCAAACATTCTGAAGTGCATAATTGAATAAGCAACTTAAATAAACAACTGTCAAAACTTGTTAAGTGATGTAAGCGACAATTATAGGTATAAGTATTCGGTTTTATTTAGGTAACCAGAATGATTAGATACAGCTAGAGTTGCCAAGGTAAGTGAAATTTTAAAAGTAATTTTATTATAAAATAATTGTGATAGTTCAAACTGCATATCTATAATACATAATTTGTTTTTTAGTGACAACAATTTAGTCCCAATTCGACATTTATTTCTGCACATTTGTTGAGTTAATTACGATAGAGTTAATGTACTATATTGTCAATATAAATTATATATCACATTGATATGTTGTGTTATTAAGCCATGCTTCAATATTTTTCATAAAATAGTTAGTTTTTTATTTAACTGATATTTGATGTTAGTATGTTATATTCAAAAATTTAGGCACCTTATAGCACATTCACATTAACTCATTTAGACGGTTTTGTTCCTTATAGCCACTAATGAGAATGATTTACCATTCAAAAATTTTTCTTATAAATGAGCTCATTATCAGTAAATCAGTTCAGCTAATAATGTCGAATGCAACCCTTAAAAATAAATTTCCCACAAGGGAAATGATCAAAATATGAAACATTCTTTATATGTTTTATATGTAAAATGTGAACACATAAAAGCTGAGATATACACAAAGGTATTGAGAAAGTAAGTATTTGATGAAATCTTTGTTTTTATTATTTGGATAAGTAATTGTTATATAATAGTATATAAATGAATTAATATATCAATTATATATATATAATTTTTTTGTGTGATATATTATTAAGTAAAGTTTACTAAAGTTTATAAAAATTGTATAAATAATTCTTTGGAAGACATTTTCTTCAAATTTTACAGATTCAAAGCACAAAGCCTAATACTATAACCCAATAGCTAATATACGGATTTATTGAACTAACGAATATATCCAAAAACCACTGATAATAAGTATTTGGAAATGATAATAATAGCTCTATGGTCAACAATATATAATATTAATTGCATTCAAAAATTTTTCTTTCTCTTATTATCAAACATATATTGTTTATAAATAAAATATTAAATATATTTAAAATATATATTTACATCAAAAGTTTTGTGTAATTTATTTAAAAACCAAATATTTAGTATCTATTGCAAAATAAAATGGTTGGCAACACTAGAACCAATTGTCAAAAATAAAATTGTGTTTTTATTTTTGCTGGTCAGTCAAAGTAAAAATCTAAGAATTTATTTGAACAAGTTTATTTTATAAGAAATGTTGCGTAAAGTTTGTGTAAGTATTTATTATATTATATTATTATATTAAAAAACAAAGCAAATAATGTCACACATTTTGATTGCGTAACACTGTATTAAATGAAACTGTTTGTAGTGCTCAAGGTATTCCGGTGGAATTCTACCGTATTTGTTAGGTAAACAAAATTTTTCCAGTGCAGCTGGATCAACTGGAAGTCAACCGCCAAAAAAAGAAGTTCTTAACCATGCTGATGTACCTATTATTGACTATGAAGATCCGGACTATTTACCACTGCCGGAATATCCCATGAGACCGGATGAACCACTCGAGGTACGCAAGCAACGGTAAGTTTAACGCTAAGTTTAGATTAAAATATCTAAAAGAGGTTCGTCAGCTCTAAGTGTGAACATAGTGTCTAACTTTAATGCTAATACATCTGTTATATTTGGGAGATATAGAAGTTTTGATGCACCGCGCAGATGACTACGGTGAAAAACAACCGAATTAGCATACATAGCTACACAGAGTGTCTGCCTTGAAATTGTTATATGTTTTTCAACACAAACCACTAAATTTCGAAATGTAGCTGTCATCAGCGCGGGGCATAATTTACAAAAAATGGTAGTTTAAAATTCTTAGTGAAATTAGTTATTTTAATTTTAAATACAAAATTAATTTAATTAAATACCAATTAATTCACTTTAAAATTTGAAATTTAAAATAATTAATGTATTGAATTTTTTAGTTTAGTCTACCAATCACGCAAGCGGGGCATGCTTGAAAATGATTTGCTACTCAGTACATTTGTGGCTAAGTACTTAAAAGACATGGATGCCAAGCTAACACTGCAGTACGATCAATTAATCAATGGTGTTTCAAATGACTGGGACATTTATTATTGGGCTACACAAGTTAAACCGACTCCTCCAGAACATGATAATGAAATTATGCGCATGCTAAAGAAACACGTAGCCAATGAACAACGTGATAAGCGTTTGAGGCAACCGGACCTGTAAACTTTATCTATAATTATTAAAAAATGTTGTTTTATTTTAAGAAAAATTGACTTTTTTTTTTGTATTCAAATATATATTTCATTACAATTTAATAGTCTTCATGTGCTTTGTTAGTTGATATACGAAAATGTGTTCGGTGCTACTTGAAACTAATCTGGATAAGATGTTTGTAATAATGTGCCATAAATCAGTAAGGACATAAGTTGTGTGTCTTTGCTATGCGAGACATCGGCATCACTGTTGCAATCTGTCAAGTGTTAAGTTTTGACAAATAACAAATCTTGCATATGTGTATATAATGCAAGCAAATTACATTTTGTATATAAATAAATAATTAACATAAATTAAATTAATACAAAATTAAAAGGAATGGTAAAAACGTTGAAAGTTTCAAAATAAAGCGCTGAAATTTTTTTTTTTTCAATTTTTAAATTTATGAAATTTGTGGCGGTTGCATATTCACTATTCAATAGAAATTGAATTATTTATAATAAATAAACATTAAGAATTAAGTAGGGCAAAGCCTACAACTTTTTGAATTTTTGTTTACATATGATATTTGACATCTGATTGCAATATTCGTTGGAGTTTCTAATGAAGGTTCACAATAGTTCGCTTATTGCGTTGGAAACACTTTTTTTACTGGTCAATATGTTTGACCAGAGTACCTATACTGACCAAAATAGAGAAAATAGTGTTGTTGGTTTGCGTACATTTCGGCAAGCAACTTGCTGTTTTTTGCCATACTTACTAGCAACCGAAAAGGTCTATTATTGATGGGATTCTTAAAACAACCTAAAATACAGTTTAGTTTGAAATTGAAATTAATTAAATTTGTAAATTTATTTTTATTTATATCATTAATTTTCATATATATATTTTTGAACTCATTATTTACAATATAATAAATATTTAGTTTTTAAATTTTAAAGTCAAATTAAAGCGAATGCGAGTGTCCAGTTTGATTACTATTTGATAGTAACGGTCTCTCTTTTTGTTTACGAAAACGTTCGGTTTTGTAAATAATTTGAATCAATAAGAGTGATAGAAGCACAAAATGGATTTTATACATTGCAATAAATGCAATAGACGACATAATATATATAAATCATTAAAATTTTTTCTTTCACAATGCGGACATGTAATATGCGAGAATTGTGTCAAGAGCTCGGAGAATAAATGTGTAGTTTGTGCGCGGAAATGCAGTCCCTTGCCCATTGACAACAATATGCCACCTTCGATGGTGGCTTACTTCGAAAAGCCTGAAAAGGTTTATGAACGTTTTCAAAAAGTTGTCAAATTTCAATTGACGCAAAAAGCGCGCTTAGGATTACATCTATTTAATGAATTACCACAACAATTGCGGAAAGTCCATAAGGAAGTAAATGCTATGTTAAAACTTAAAGCGAAACTCACATCTGAGTTGGATGAGGAGAAAAAACGTTTTGAAAAACAAAAACGATACTTGGCTTATATGCAAAACTCAATGGAAATGGTAGATACGAAACGAAATCATAAAACAGATTTGTCTGACGCAATGTCTAATTTAAAAAAGCGACTAACAACACCAACATTAAGTGCGTCCGTATCGGAAAGTTTTAAAAGCGCTGGAAGAAATGTCACTATTACTTCAATGCCAAAATGCGGTGTAGACTTTAATTTGTAAGTAATTTAAGCAAATAAAAATAGAATTAAAAAAAAAGCAGGAATTCTCATTATTTTTTATTTTTTTATTTATTTGATTTCTGTGACTATCGGGTACTTATTTAATACTTTTATCACTATATCCTCTGAACAAACAATCAACAAAGTACCAATTAATTATTATTCGATCCAATCTTTGTCAAATTGTAATAAGCAGCAAAGAGTTAAACAAGTTGGAAGCTTAACCTCCATTTAATTATAGCTGCCTTTGTAACGTAATAAACAGGCCATAATAAATATTAAGCGAACTGCTTGATCTATACCTTTAAATTATTCTTCCTTTACCAAAATCGGGGTAACTTAAAAGATAGCAATAAATCCAAATAGATTGAATTTGGTTTAGATTCAATATATAGACTAACTTGTTTCTAAGTAAATTGTTGATATATACCTTCGAGAAACATAAAAGACCGTTCTTGTTCTACGGTTCGAAACCAAGTCAATTTATTATATTTACGTTTATATAGAATAGTGTTCTTACGTGTATTTTAATTTTACACTAAGGGAAAGAAATGAAGTGGGAGAGATTATATACATATATATCAATTGTATTTTATAAATACTTTAAGAATGGTGAAATCGCATATTGTGGCGAAGTGTCGTTTACTACTAATGATCTGTTGTGGGAACTGTTTAGGAGCATTGCAAAAGTAAAGGAGTACTATGTCATTGCACCGATGTTACAATGGTGGCGTATTCCGACAAATAGTTCGTGCAGGAAGTGCAAGATAAAGAAAAGATCAAACCATTAGTGGTTTTTAATTTTCTCGTCTGGAACTGCAGACTTAACAGTTTCAACTATTTGGAAACCATTTGTCAACTGGTTTGGTAGAGATAATGGATGTGGACTTATCGGATCTTTTTAGCTTAATCTGAAAGATCTGATTTATAAGGGTAATGGAGGAATATGACAGCAGTTAGTGTAACTCGATACTCCTAGGCAATTCTCAACGCATTATAATAGGCAATAGTTAGTGACAGTTGTAACAACCATTAACCTAAACATGTTACAAATTTATACATTGCGGTTCCATGAGCAAATGTAAATAAAATATACATGTGATTGATATATTGGCGTAATATAAGTGTTTCAAAGCCCCAAAAAAAATGTGTAGAGTTTACAAATTGCATATTTTCGGTAGCGAGTTCAATACGTCTTGCGAAAAACAGGTGAATCTAGACGTGTTTCATGACTTGTGACACTATTCTGTTGAAACCACACATTTTCTATAACCATATATTCGATTTCAAATCAAAATTAGTATATACAATCTATACTTTTTTGTGGATACAATAGTTTTTTGATGGGCACTTTTGAATTTTAGTGGTCCCAAACGCCATAACATAATTTTAATTAATGTAACTTTTCTATATGTGGATTTTAACATACCCAAATACGACAATTTTTTAAATGACTTATCCATCAAGTGAAAAATGAAGCTTATTAATAAATAAAATTCTTTCAGTTCAGCATTTGAGATTCGTCGCTAAAACAATGTTGCTAAATCCGAATTAGAAATGGATAAATCTCTATAATACTTGATATTCATTTGTAGCAATCTATCCTCCTATTACCCTATGTTCTGCTCTATTGTTATTAGCACTATAAGTGCAATTACAATTGCCCTCTAAGATGGACTATAAAAAAGACGTTTCAAGTAAAAGTTTATATAAAATATGTTGGTTA